GATCTATAGCACAGTGGTTAGTGCTCCACAGGTCAGATCACAAGATACCGGTTCAACCCCAGGTGAAGGCGGTTGAATAAAATTAATATGGTATCTAGTACCATAACCAATCCTATGCTGTTTCTCATAAGAAGCCATTTATATACCAATCCGGTAAGGCATTAAGATTGTGATTTCCAGTTAAGGCGTCGTGGTGTAATGATTATCCAGTTGGCACATGATGATCATTATGAAGTCGCTTTATATGTAGATTGCATAGGTTCTCTTGCATATGTCAAATTCGACCATTCCAGGATTTTCTAGTTTGGAGCTATCCCAATCTGGCACTTGCTTAAAAGAAGTCAATCCTGTGAGAAGGATCTATCGAAGCTGCAGGTAGTGACAAGGAGCAAGTATCTTCTCCGAGAGTCCAAATGAAAAGTATCAGGGTGTCCAGAAATCTGATAACCAAACCTTTATAGGATAGACATAACTCTTAGAAATCAGATTATAGGTTAGGTGGTTTAAACTAATGGTAGGTATTCACCTCTATAGAAACCCCATCAAATATGTAAAATACCATACCTTTGGTGTACAATTTGCATGTTGGGTCCAAAAGATGAATGGTAAACTAATATGTCATAGTATTAGGTAGTGTTGGTTTACAATTGTAGACTATATAATCGGTACAAATAGTACAATTTCCAATTGTAAAAGGACACTTGATATAGTTCAAAGATTACTCACGTATCAATAAAGATTTGCATCATTGTATATTCATCTATAAAAAAAAAATAATAATAATAAAAAATAAAGAAATGGTATTTACCTATATTAAAAAATAATAATAATAATAATAAATGATATAAAATTTTTTTTCAATTTTTTCATACTTCTTTTGATATTAATATTTAATTATTTTATTTTTGATAAATATTCTTAGGAAATTATAATCTCTATATTAATCTTTGAAAAGATTTCTTTAAGAAAAGTTTAAAAAGGTTAGTAGATTTATTTTTGATTTTGATAAGGAGATTAATAATAACTTTTGTTGTTCTATTATATTAATTAAGAATTCTAATGATTCTCTTTGATTCTATATTTGATTCTCAAGTTTATATTAAATTTAATAAGTTAAATATACTCCACTATCATTTTTAATAGTATTTAGAACCTTAGATAATTCTATATAATTCTGTTTAATTTCAATTTCAGAACTATAATATTGATTAAACTCTTTATAGAGTTTTAGAATTTTTTTCTATTCATTAGGTGTTATGGCTTCCCTAATATCAATTGTATTAAAAGAATTATTAATATATTGTGTTACTAGTAGTTATTAATTTAATTGGTTCAAGATAAGAAAGGAGTTCTGGTATTTTGAGTAATTAGCTGAAATAATTTTGATTATTAATTTTTATATTGAAGTTAGAACCTTGATAATTTTTATATAAGAGTATATATGCAAAAATAATGATATATTAATCAGTCTATATTAATATATAATTATTGCTTGTGTATGTATAAGGATTAGATTAATCAATTTTATATTTAAATTTGTTGTATGAGATATATTGCTAGCACAATTGACTTGTACGTTATTGTTATCAATTATTTTTCAATAAATATAGTGATGTTTGAAAAGAGTAAAATGGTTTTGGTTTTTCATTATAAAAAAAATTATTGTTTTTTTTATTAAATAGGATTTCTAGTTTGCTTTATGAAATATATAAGTTATAGTTAAGACTTTGTTTTGAAATGATTTTTATTATACAAATATGATCATCATCAGTAATTTGAAACTTATATTGAAAATTAAAAAATAAGTTTAGATTATATATATAGCAGGAATTTATAGATTCTTGATACAATTGATATAATTATTTGATGCAATTAATTAAGTCATTAAAAAAATACAGTATATAAAATAATTAAATCAGATACAATTATTTTTGAAGATTTTGACAATTGAGTCATAATTTAGACAATATATATAATTTAGATTATTTAAGAAGAAAAAATTAAAAATTATAACTTTGATTATAATAGATAAAATAAAAATTTTTGTTTTTTGATAGATTTTAAAAAAGATAGCAATTATTTTTAATTATTTTAAGGTTATTGTTGAAAGAGTAGATAGAGTTATTCAGACTTCTGAAATATTGTCAAACTAGAAAAATTAAAGAATAAGTTGAAAGGAATAGTATATACTTTGTTATTTTTTTTATTTTTTTATTTATAGATGAATGTGCAATGATGCAGATCTTTATTGATACTTGCGTAAATGGAAATATATCAAGTGTCTTTTACAATTGAAACAATTGTTAATTTATATCAATTGTATTTAATGACAGTTCTAATTATAACTAATACTGCTTTGTTTGGGTAACAGTTTACCATCTATCTTAAATCAACTATGAGAATACTATATCAAAGGTAATCCAACATGTTGGGTGAGGTTTTTATAGGAGAAAAATACTTATTATTAGTTTAAATCACCTAACCTATAACCTGTTTTCTAAGAGCTTATGTTTATCCCGCAGAGGTTGATAAAATTTCCAAATATATCAATATTTTTCATTTGGACACTCGAAAGGGATACTTGCTTCTTGTCACCACTTGCGACTTTGGTAGATCCTTCCCAAAAACCAACTTTTTTTAAGCAAGTACTGGATTGGGATAGCTCCAAACTAGGAAATCTTAAATGAGTTAAGACGAGGCTTATTTGGTATAACATATATAGGGAACCTATACAACCTATATATGAAGCAGCTTCACAATGATCATTATGCATCAACTGGATGACTGTTACATCATGACACCTTTAATAGAAAATCACAATCTTAACATCTACCAGATCGGCATGTGAAATAACTTTTTATAAGAAACAGCACATGATTGGTTATGATACCAGATACCATATTAATTCTATTTAATTGCTTTTATATAGATTGAACTGATATTTTATGATCTGATCTGCAAAGCACTAATCACTATATTATGGATCCACAGGTTATACTTTATTATTTTTAATATTTTGTAAATAATTATAATATTGAGTTTTTGGATATCTATTATAAAAATATCTAAAAGTATGTTTAGGATTAAAAAAAGAATCTTTAAAGAAAGAACTATTTTTTTCAGAGTTTTTTACTTGTTTTTTTTTAAGAAAAATTTTGTTTTTTCTTTTTTGATAATTTTTGACATATGCAAAAATAATTAGGAAAGATGTTTTTTTTAATATAAAAATAAAGAAATATTTTTTTATTTTTAATTAATTTTTTAATAATAAAAATAAATTAAATTAAAAAGATTTTTTAAAAAATACAATTAAATATAAAATAGAACTTGTATAAGAGGAAATAATCAATTTCAAAATATTCCTATACTTTGGGTTCTATTTTATATTATTGTTAAATTATATCTTTATTGGAATATAAAAATTATATATTTTTTCTATTTTAGTAAGTAATCTTTGTCTACTTTTACTATTTATTATTATTAAAATATTTGTTGATTATTTAGATAATATATATTTTGTTTTTCTTATATTTTTAATTATTTTTATCTTAAAAGAAATTTCTATATAATCTTTAAAAATAAATATACTAATAGTTAAAACTTATAATTTGTTATTAAATTTTATAAATAATAAATATAAAAAAAATTATTTATAATTAATTTGTAAATATTATTTCTAAGTTGAGTATATAAATAGGTATTAAAAATAATATTGAAAGAAAATTAAATTTTATTTTTGAAAAAATTAATTAACTCTTTGTAATAGTTTAAAAAAAGATTATAGTAAATATCAATAGTTTATTATTAATTAAAGAAAACTTTATTAATATAAGAGTAAAACAGACAACTCTAAAGATAATTAAAGAAAAAATATAGTCTTTAAATATATGTTTTTTCAATATATGGTGCATGCCACCTAGTCACATCAAATGTTGCAGCAACGCTGAAATTTCGGCTGCAGGTAAAAATGGGTCCCTAAAGTATTTAGCATATAAAATTTACGTCCCTTTACGTCCACGTCCCCTAGAGGACATAATTACTAGCTCTTTATTTCAATAGGGACATAATTTCAGAAATAATTTGTATAGATGCTTAAAACTATAAAGAACCTTTGTAGGTGGTTTTTTTTTATTTCTTAATATAGAAATGAAAATTTTTAATAATAAGGGACATTTGAATTATGTCCTTACAAATAATTTAGGGACCCATCTTTAGCTGCAGGTATCACTTAATTTTTTGAGGGAGGGGGGTGTTTATTCCAATATTTGCATAATAAGGCACGTGTCATCAAAAGAATGTTGTGTAACTCCGATAGCATTTAGATTATCTTTACTCCATTTTCGTTTCTCCTCCCACCTAAATTCTGTCAAAATGTCACCTAAAAAACAAAAGGTATATCTACAAAAAACACGTCAAAAGATAGGATATGGTATTTCGGATTATTTAAATTATTTACAGCATCAGTTTATATAAAAATTCGGCAGGTTAATTTAATTGTATAATAGTTGCACAACAAGATTGTGAGATCACCAATGATACAGATAATCAATCGGAAGAATCTGACGGAATGAATAAGTGTTGGGTTAATGAAACTTTAGAATAGCAGATGAATAATTGTTTTTCGATTATGCTTCAAGCCGCCCAATAGCCAAGCGTTTATATAAATACTAAATGCAAAGCATTTTATATTGGGACCACAAAATCAACCATTAGAAGTAAAAACTGGCAAATGAGATTAGCGGCACAAGGATCTGCAAAAATCGATTCATATTTTTATTCTGTCATTGATTTGACAAAATCAAAAAATAAGATTTTGGTCACATTAGTTTATTCTTTTATTGTAATTTCAATTTTGACATAAATGTACAGATAATTTAGAACACCATCAAAACTCTAACCTATCAGATGATTCGTCCAATGAAAAAGATAATTCAGAACATCACCAAAACTCGAATCTAGTAGATAATTCGTCCAATGAAGAAGATTATCAATTTTTATTTGAAGATCTAGAACGTGATATAAAACTCGGTATTAGTGATATCAGATTACAATATGTTGCACAATATCTTCAGTTAGTTGTATCAGGCATGTTGAAAATTGAATCAAGTACAATTATTGTGTTATCATTGAATCGAGGACCATGGGCTACGCAACTTATTAGATCCTGAGCTATTCAATATAGAGAAACTGGTGATATCATAACCTCACAACGTAATCGCCACCCTAAAATTCGATTTTTATTGGATGATGAAGATGTTAAAGGTCAAGTAATGCATTATATACACGAACACAAATTTGAATTAGATCTTGTCAAGTTCTGTAATTATATTCAAAATGAAATCTTTCCAGGGTTAGGAGTTGAAACTCATTGCACAATTAGCAACAGTACTGCATGAAAATGGTTAAAGCAATTAGGATGACAATGGAAAAGATATTAGAAAGGGTTATATTATGACGGTCATGAACGGGATAATGTAGTGGAATACTGAAACACATTTCTGTAGCAAATGACAAATTTTGAACAATTTATGCCACAATGGTCAGATGATCTTACTTTACAAATTGGTCCAGAACTAGTGACAAATCAAAAGTTACATATTCTTATAACTTATGATGAATCAATATTCTTTTCAAATAATAGCAGAAAAGAATTTTGGAGATCAGATGACGAACAACCACTTTGTTCAAAATCTACAGGCAGTAGTCTAATGGTTAGTGACTATTTGTGTAATACACTGGGATGACTACAAGTAGATTCTGAAAAACAAGCACAAAATTTATTGCTTCCACCAGATCAACAAATACCAAAGTGTGCTTGTACTATTATATGTTCAGGAAACAATCGAGATGATTATTGGGGAAGTAAAAATGTTGCAAAACAACTTAAAGAAAAAGCAATACCAATATTTAATGCAATGCATTCAAATTGCATTGCAATCTTTGCATTTGATAATAGTACCAATCATGGTGCATATGCTGATGATGCATTATTGGCAAAAAAATGAATCTTTCTTCAGGAGGAAAACAACCAAAAATGAGAACTACTATTATACGTAATGGAATACTACAAACTATGGTATTTGATAATGGAACATCAAAAGGTCTACAAGTGGTTTTAAATAAAAGAGGATACAATATACAAGGGCTTAAAAAAATTTGTAAAAAATGCATCAAAGGACAATCTCAAAATACCAATTGTTGTGCAATTCAAATCTTGTCATTAGAGCCAGATTTTGTAAACCAACAACCTTTGCTTCAAGAAATTGTGGAAGATGCAGGACACAAAGTTATCTTTTATCTAAAATTTCATTGTGAGCTTAATTATATAGAAAATTATTGGGGCTAGGCAAAAAAATATGCACGCAGATATTGTGATTATTCCTTTGATGGTTTACAAAAAACTGTATCAAATGCACTTAAATCTGTATCATTAATTCAGATTAGACGATATGCGCGAAGAGCACATTGTTATATGAGTGCTTATTATTTAGGTTTAACAGCAAAGCAAGCAATATTTGCTGTAAAAAAATACAGATCTCATAGGTACATTTCAGAAGATATTCTTCAAGAATTAGATAAACTTCAATAATAAATTTAACATTTTTATAATTTTGGCTAGCATTAATAAATTACCCTAATGTTGGCCAAAATTAATCATAATTTTGGCAAGATTTAAACATTGAAATTTGAAAATTCTTAATAAAAAAATTTTTTTAAAAATTATAGAACACAAAACCTATAGTATTTTTCAAAATTCCAACTCTATTAGTTTATTGCTTACATTAAGATCTACAAAATAATAGAAAGTTTTTTTAAAATTATATAATAGAATTTTCAGTTCTATTCTTTTAAACTTAGTAATATTTATTAGATATAACTAGGTGGCGTGCACCATACCTTATCCCAATTAAAAATTATTAAATTTTTTTTTTTAACTTAACTAGCTAGGCCTTGCCTAATATGCTTTATTTAGTTTACATGTATATTTCTTTTATAAGAGTTACTATCTATAAACTATTTTAGATATATATTAGACTATATCGAATTTCTTTCATATCGATTTGTTGCTATTGATTTGTTCTATTGGTACATGTCAAGGCTAATATGCCAAGGCTCTATCAGTATTGTTATTATATAAATAAAATAAATTAAAACCAATAATATTATTTCCCTGGTCCAACCAGTTTCTTACCAGCTTATGCTGCATGTTGGATATTTCTACTTGTTACATCTTTTATTAATTATATGCTAATATAGCTGCTTATTTTCAAAACACCATACAGTTTATTACTCTGCACTACTATATCCACCTTTTTGCAGCTTCGGTGGCTATACATATATTAATAAGTGATATATATACAGTATATGTTTATAATAGATCTATCTATATATGAGTGGTTATATATATATTCTACATAATGCTATATATAATTACTACTTTATTTAGGGGAAAGTATCAAGAGATACAATTTATCAAACTTCTTCCTGCATACCTCTTTCCTAAACTAGAAAGATACGTGAATCCTTCTTAATTTTTTCCAGAACAATTTTATTTATATTAAGAATAATCTGGTTATTAGGCTATTGATTACAATATCCTAAACCCTGGGTTTCGGTTCTTCAGAGTGGTCCATGAATTTTTTCTTCCATCAAGGCCTTCCGATAATAAAGTCATGAAACAAGGGTATAGTCATATATTTGATTGGACTTGAAGCCTATCAGTAGTTTTGATTCGCCCTCATCGAGTCACATAAACTTCTTTAACAGCGGTATACTATCAGTTTGGGATCTATTCTTCTTATTACCATTTGATAATGTGGTTGTGTCAAGGATAATCCTACCTGATTTCAAACATTCAACCTAATCACAATCTTTCATATAACCAATATTTATACTAAGAAATATCAGTTAGTTTATGGTTATACCAATGGATACAGGTTCTACCAGCTACTTTTTTTTTATTAGGAGAATTACATTAGCCTCCTGTAGGATTTAAATCTGTATCTTGTTATCAGACCTATAAAACACTAACCACTGTACTATGGATCCATAGGTTTTTTAAAAATTATTAAATAAAAAATAATTAACTAATTTAAAATTAGAAAATAAAGTTTAAATTTTAGAAACTAGAAGCCGAAAAATAATTAATAATACCTAAATACTATTTATATAAAGAAGTTAAAAAAATGGAAGAGAACAAACCATTAAAATACTTATCATTGTCTTAAATCTCGTAGGTTAGAAGGGTAAATAGCAGAATAGATTTAATATCATTACTATCAGAACCATATTTTAATAACATTTTTCTTAAACTGTGATATAATGAAAATGCTCTCAAATTTTTTTTCTTAATTTTTTTAGCAAACTTTATAAAGAGCCATTATAAGTTCTTTCTTTAATTCATCTTGTCCTTAATTAATTTAAGGAATATATAACCAATGATTTTCTTATCACAGAAGATTTTAAGATTATCTTTGTTAAGTTGTAAAATATAATTATCTCTATCATCAGAATCAGTAAATATTACTAGGCTAACAAATAATATAAGATAGAAAGTAATAAGTGAAATAAGTTAATACATTTATATACAATATATATAGTTAAAAATATATAGTCATATGATTTATTATAAAAATTATATGATGATCTACATCTGAAATTTCAGACTATATGATTTATAGATAATAGATACCATATAAAAGAAATATAAATAAGACATATACTTCTTATATATTTCATGTTATACTATATTAAAACCAATAATGTAACTAAATATGGCAAAAAAACAAAGCATCAAAATATTCTTTTGTTAGAAATGGTTTAAAGTCTTTTTTCTCTTCTCTTGTATTAATTTTTTTCTTTTTAAAATCAAAGAAGATTCTCATTAAACTAGTAATTAATTTAGATGAGTTTTTATTTATTAAAACAAACTTTTCTTTTTTCCATTTATTCTTTCCCTTTACTTATAGAAAAATAAAAAATTTTTTCTCTTTAAGACTATAATGATTATGTTGAAATAACAGTCAAGAATATTAATTGGCAATGATTTTTTAATTGAAATTATCAAAGTATCTTACTAGAAAGAAGCAATTTATTTATTCTCCATAATCTTATCTAGAGAGTTAAAATAATTTAAAAAGTCTAAAATAATTAATATTATGCAATAATAGCTTATAAACTAATTTTCTTATAGTAAAATAATTAATAAATAACTAGGTTATGTGAATAATATGATGGTCTTGATATTAAGAATTTAAGGATCATATATAAATTTATTAGACTTATTAATAGATATATTATAATTTATAAGAATGTTTAGTGATAATGCAAAATTATATTAATGTATTTTGTTTAAAAAGATTAATAAACATAATAACTTATAGCCTAATTAAAAATAATAAATAATAATAATACTATTATTATTAATTAATTAATAGATATTAATAGAAATATAACTTTTTTGGATATTTTTATATCAAAAAAAAAAAGAATTGATTTTTGAAAATTTTATAATTATTTTGTTATTTCTATTTATGTTAATTAAATATATTAGTTTCTAACTTAAATTTTTAAGATATTATAAAGTATTAATTAAAAAACTTA